AGGTGTTGACCTTGGGGACTTCTGGGAACATTGCTTCGACCTCGGAGCGGAACTGAGCGCCACAGCCCGGCTTGATGTAAAAGCCGGTCCATCCAAGGAATCCCATCTTCTCATCAGCTAGGAGTAGAAGTAGTAGTAGGGTGATGATCTCTCTCTGCATCGAGGAGGGGGAGGTGGAGGAGGAGGAGGAGGAGGAGGAGGAGACACCTGTCGCAGTTGCAGCATGCTCTTCTTGTTGTGTGATGACCAGGAAGTGTACGCGCGTTTCTGCATTGGAGATGAGAGCGAAAAAGAGGCGGGGGGGGGGTTAGAGACAAGTGGGGGAAAAGGAGGGAGAGGGAGAGAAAGTTAGGGAGAAAGAAGGAGAGAGGCGAAAGGGGAAGGGGAAAGGAAATTCAGGTGCGTTACCAGCAGAGTGAGGAGGTACTTGTCTCGTTTCACGTTCGCTTTCCGGCTCATTCTGTTGTGGCGATGAGAAAAGGAAGGAGGAAGAAACTTGTGAGTGGAGAGAAATGATAGAAGAATGCAGGAGAAAGGCATTGAGAGAGAGGACAGGGAGGTCGAAGAGGAGGAAGAAGCAGGACGAGTGAGAAGAGGATAAGAAGAGGTAGAGGGGAAGGAGATAGCGGGGGGCAAGGAGGAAGGAGGAGGCGGGAAGGGGAGAGGAGGGAGGAACCTATGGATCCAGGAGGAATGAACCAATTCATCTCGCCAGCAGGTGAAGCATGCTTGCCTCATCCTGGCTCTGACGCGGAGGAGGAGTCGAGCCCCCCCGCTGCACTTGAACTTCCACGTTGCGCTGAGGTACTGGAGGATGAAGAAGGAAAGAGAGTGAGGGGAGAACAGGCAGGACAAGTCAGTCAGCCGAGCGAAAAAATCATCTTCATCATGTCAGTGCTGATAATCACTAACGTACAATCTGCATCTTAATCATCATGTTTTTTCTTCATCGTGACGACCATCATCATCATCATTACCATTGCCACCACCATCATTGTTATCATCATCCTTTCACCTTCATTCTTCGGAAGATGGAACGTTTCCGCATGAACGAGCATCGTCTGCAGTGCCAGTGAGACGTAAACGGGTTCATCCTCGTCCCCCACCTCTGGAATTTGAGCCCATTGGAGCGGAGGAGGAGGAGGAGGAGGTGAGTTGTACGGAGAGACAGGACAGATTTGACGAGTCTGTCAGGAGATGAATATGAGATGAAAAATCGCATGACATGCTCGTCGTCACCTTGTGATGCGATCATGTTCCAACTTCGATGCTCCTGATATCATACAACCATCGTCAACGCCTCGATTTTCTTCCTCTCCTCTTCCTCCTGCACCTCCCCTCCATTCTCGTTCTGATCCCAATCTCCTCCTCCTCCTCCTCCTCCTCCTCCTCCTCCTCCTCCTCAGCAGCAGCAGCAGCAGCAGCAACGGCATTTTACCATCAACGGTGACCATGTCTCTCTTTGGAAGGTGAGCCAACAAGCGCCTGCCGCCTTGTCAGTCTGCCACGTCATCGTTGACAACCATCAACTTCGTCGTCTCCCCGTCTGCCCCGACCAGCTCCATCACGTCCCCTGACGGGACATGCGTCACTTTCAGCGCAAAACAGCATCTCCACAACCCTTGGCCATGCTGAGCAAGCTCTTCTCTGTCAAGACCCCGAACCCGAGCTCCCAGATCTTGCTCAGCTGTAAACTCTGAGTCTTCTCGAAGACGTAGAGAATCGACTTCATCTCGTAGCTCATCTTCTCCTCTAAAGCAGCAGACAGCTTGCTCTCCAACTCCTGCAGGAGGAGGAGGAGTAGTAGGAGGAGGAGTAGTAGTAGTAGTAGTAGGAGGAGGAGGAGGAGGAGGAGGAGGAGCAGAATGAGGATGAGGATGAGGATGAGGATGAGGATGAGGATGAGGAGGAGATCATTCATTAGGTCTTAAAAGCATGCTCAAGTGCTCACCATCGCTTGTTGAGTAGTTGAAACGTCATTACGATTTGAAGCAATCAACATGGTCTTCTCCTGCAATAAACCTTATTCCTCCTCCTCCTCCTCCTCCTCCTCCTCCTTCTTATCTATTCGCTATTCTGTCTCTCCTTTCCTTGTCTCTTCTGCTCTTTGCATCGTCCCAACCTCGAGCTTCGCGTAGGCATCCATCAACGCCTGTTCCATCCTCTGCCGCTCGTCGAACTCGATCTTTTCCCTGCTCAAACCGTGAGCCACCGCCAGGAGGAAGAGGAAGAGGAAGAGGAAGAGGAAGAGGAAGAGGAAGAGGAGGAGGAAGAGGAGGAGGAGGAGGAGGAGGAGGAGGAGGAGGAGGAGAACTTACCTCCTGCTTGACTGAACGCTCTGGGTCCTGTAGGAGACGGAGAGGAAGTCCAAAGTCTGGAGGATGCGGTCGAGGCTGCTCTCCA